AACATGAGATTTCATTTAGTTTAGAAATGACTACACTCAGTGATTTGTTCTTTAAAAAAAAAATGTACTGAAGCAAATTTGGGGTGTGCATATCTTAGATTGTTTTAAACAAAAAACACTCAGATTCACATGTATTAGTGAAAAGTCCTCTCCCTAGAAGTAGTTTGATTCAGGTTGCCTTTTATACTTTAAGAGGTGTCTATCCTTGGCTGCTATCCTAGTTAGATATAATGGGGAGTACTTGTCATATACACTAAATACAAAAGGAAAATAAAGTAGAAATGGAAGATCTTGTGCATCTCAGTGTTTTCAGCATATATGTGAAGTCATTTAGAACCTCAATTATTATGCTGGAGTTGAAGATTAGGGGCAGGGATGGTGTGATCATTCTAATACCCTTGGGTAGGCTAAGGATTCTTCTTTTAGGTATGTTTTTAAAGCCTTTTAAAAAACTGTTCTGGGAGGTGTTGCCTCTGACTAGATATCATTTGTCTTAAGTACAAGGATATGTGATCTTAAATTTGCATGTATTTTAATGTGAAATTTACACTTTAAGTACTGCTTTTGGAGAAAGCTGAGGGTGGTTGCTTAGATGAATATTTTTCTTTTGGTACTGAGGATTGAACCCCCAGGGATGTTACATCCCTAGCCCCTTCTCATTTTTGAGACAGGATATCTCCAAGTTGCTTTGTACCTCACTCAGTTTCAGAGTGCTAAATTTGAGGCTGGCTTCAAATTTCTGCTCATCCAGCCTTAGCCTCCCAAATCTCTTGATTTCAGGTGAGCACCACTACACCCTGGTTAAAGGAATGTATTAAAAAGTATTACAGGTGAAGCTTAGGTAAGCAAAAGAACTGAAGAATAATGAAACAAGCTGTGGTTAAGTCAAAAGCAGCTGATGATTTTTAATTTTTGTATTCTGGATCTTCATAGATAATAGTCATTCTTTCTAGGCAGGTTCCAACACTTAATTATGCAGATGTCGACAGAAGATTTTTGTTTGTTATTTGACCAGGGTTTTAGAACAGAAGAGTGTCTATCAAGTTGCTGGGTTAATTAAAATTTACACTTGGATTTGGAAATTGTGCCATTTTTGTCATATGCAGGCATACTCATGCCTTTTTGGAGGTAATTCTCTGAACTATGTTTATAATTATACTAAGGATAAATAAATGGATAACTGGATACATTGTATCGAGCCCTTTGCCAGTCAGATGGTTAATGTTATTGGAAATTACAGTAAACGAAGATTACTTTGTTTTGGTACCAGGGATTAAACTCAGGGATTAAATTTAGGCATTGAGGCACAACTCCAGCCTCCCCCAGCCCCCTATTTTGGTTTTTAGATTGTAAGATAGGTGCTGAATTGCTGAAGCTGATTTTGAACTTGCAACCCTCCTGCCAGTGTGTACCACTGCTTCCTGGCTGGAAAATTACTTGAATTTTCTATAAGTCTTTTCTATTAAGTCTTCTTGAAACTTAGAAATGGATAGGATATTTGTTTTGTTAGTAAGTCTCACTCTGGATTCTTAAAATGTTTTCTTTTTTAAAAAAAATATTGATGTGAATGTACTACTTTAAGAATTTCAGTTCCTTATTAGGTTGTGTGTTTGAATGGACTGTAGTTTGCTCAGAACCCATTATTAACCTATGGTAATATTGGGTTTTATTTTAGGTACTGCTGTAATAAAGCAGTGACTGTGATATGTTCTAGTCAGATTTTTGGCAAGTGGCATTAACTTGAAACTGCCCTCTGCTGGTCCATGTATTGAACAAGAGAAAATTGCCACGTTAATAGTCAGAATTTAAAATCTATGAATAATTTCCTGTGGTTCAACCTAATTGCACATTTTAAGTATGAAATTCAGTAGAGCCTAGGCATCCAGAAAACTTCTGATTACTGGATGATGGAGATACATATAATCTGTAGGAAAACCTTGTTTTTAAAGAGAGTCAGGTTCTTCTGCTGTTCCTAAAATAGGGGCTTGAGAAGTCCACTGGGAATAACTAATGCAGTTTTATAATTTACCATATTCCATTTGTCTTGTTTCCTCCTCAGATTCAAATAGATGTTATAAGTTAATAGTACACAGTTGGGAAACTACTATTTTAGTTTTGCCTATTTTTTTTTTCCTCTGCCTCCAAGGAAAGCTAGACTGACTAGTTGGTGTTTCCAGGGCCGTTTCAATATTAAGTTTAGTCTAATCATGTGTCACAGAGTGTAACATTAACCATATGTCTTGTATTCTCATAAAGAGTATGCTGAATTAAAATGATGTGTTTTACATGTATCCATTCCCAGGCATTTCCAATTAGGTAAGACTGCTACCTAAAGATGGCCAAAATAAGTTTTCTATCTTCCTAGCTCTTAAATGCCCCACTATTAAATGCACTAAATAGCTTGAATTTCTATTTCAGTGTTTTTTTTTTTTTTTTTTTGTTAACCTCGGGTAAAATATTTTCTGCACTTTACCTTTTTTAAAAATTTTTACACTTAATTATAAAATGCAGCTACTACTTTTATAGATTAGGGACCATTTTCATAAAAATAATTTCAGTAGTTTTTCTAAACAAAATTTATACTTGTTGCCTGGGGCTTATACTACAAATCATATGAGGTTTATCTTTCAAATGATTTGCTGTTTTCTAGGGGGAAAAAAAGTGTTAACATGTACCAGGTTATACCATAATACTGGACTGTTACCTTATTGTGCTCAGATATAATAGGTTAACAGGATAGAAGCACTACTTATATTCTGTTTCTAAGGCAACAGTAGGCCCTGAGCATAAAAACAGCACTGTGCATAACTTGCAACAACTAAAAGCAGAGCTTAGCTCATTTATGTTTCTTGGTACTCAAGGTTACTCAGTTCATACTTTACACAATCTAGCATTTTAGTTTTTTTTTTTTTAAACTTATACCTCAGATTTCTTCCTATAGTACACTTTTTGAGCCAACCTCTGACTTCTCCACAGAAATAATATGTTGGGAGGGTTGTTTGTGCTTGATGCATGCTATATTTTATATACATACAAAAAGCCTTCCATAGGCTTTTGCAGAATGCTTTTGGTAGGTCAGCTCTCAGAGTTGAAGTAGAACTCCGTGTTCTATAATGCTTAACCATGAATGAATGAAGCATGGTGCTGCAGTGCATTTTATTTTTAAATATTTCTAATGTAAGGTTTTTAAGGTAGAGCATACATTTTCAGTGTTGAACGCAGTATAGCACTTCAGTATGGCAGTTAAACATATTTAGGCTTTTGCCGTATGTTAAGGTAGCTGCTAAATTTTTTGTAATCGTCAGTGATTTTGCTTCTAGTTTTCTATATCCTCCTGTTTTAATAAGAAATTACGAATGACAGAAAACCATTTAAAAAATGTGATGAGCTGAATGTACAGGTATGGTGCTTATATGCGACCTGTTTTTCATAAAAGTGTTCTCAAATATTTGTGGAATGACATGTGTCCTCTGGAATAGTGGTCTGCATGACTTTTTATTCAAGTACTTCCATAAGTCCTATCAGTTGCAAAATACTTACAGGCAAGACAATTTTGTTAAAACAGCGAGGAAAGAGGTTCTAAGGCCATTCATAGCCCACTTTCATTACCAAAAAAGAAAAGCAGCTTAGTACTTACCTCCTAATGATGTCAACACTGAAAAAAGTGAAAAAAGTGTAAGGGACACACAATCCTTCCTGTGTCAGGTCTGTTAAGGTTGTGGATAGTAATTTCCCCAAAATATTTATTGAGAGTAACTAGAGTACCAAGTTATTAATGAATATAGTGAACTGGATGGGACACCCAGAGGTTAATTCTACTTGGACTAGCTGTGTAATCTCAAAAAAATTATCTCAGGTTTTTGTTTCCTCAGCCATAAAATGAGGAATCCTCAACCGTTTTCAAGTTGGCCATTTATCCTTCATTTTACAGATGAGAAAGTATGAGCCCTCAGTAGAGAACACTTGCTGAAAGACATATAGCAATGATTACAAATATCGGATTTGAATTCTGCATCTTGTTTTCTTTAAGGGTGTTTTATCATACTTTCTTGGGAAGACAAGGATAGGTGGTTTCAGAGTGAAACAAGGGCCTTCCTGCCAGTGAGCTATACGCCAGTCCCTTCCTCTCAAAATCTATAAACATCAATTGGCAAGGAAAAAGGTCTCAAAATAGGTTTTTAAGGACAAGTACTAGACTCATCTTGGTATAACTAAGGTAAATATGTTTGGGTTATTGGAATTGTGGTATCACAGTACTGAGTATAAGTGCATGGAACTCTTGATCTGCGAAAGATTTGCCTTTGGCATTTATCTATTATACATAACAGTGACAATGCTTTAGCACAATGCTAGCAGATTTTAAAGATTCTAGTATTTTATATGAAAATACCAATTAGAAAAACTTTGTTTCAGTCACATTTGAATCAAATTACCCATTATGGTCTACAGCCCTCACAAATGTTATTTAAAACATTTTTTGCTTATAGCTTTCAATTAAGTATGAGTTCTTCTACTTGAAAATGGTAAGCCTAGAGAAAATAAACGTATGAAAGAAAATTGAGGTCTGTTCCTTAGTATTAAAGTAGTTTCTTAATACCTGTGGTAAAAAAAACAGGTATGCTATTTTGTATTAAACACTTGAAAGTATTTGTATCTACTATATTAAGTCTGTCTTTTTTTATAGTTAATGCTTGATTGCCTGTGGGCATATTATCACACTATTTGTGGAAAATGGACTGATATTGTCTCCTCTTTAAGCTCTTCTTCATGGAAAGTTTATTAGTCCAGATAACTGAAATAAAAGGTTAGTAAGCCATAACACAGCCAGTCTTCTTTATTAGTGGATTCCTTATTTGTGAATTCACATACTCACTGAAATTTATAACTTCTAAATCAATATATCTGTGACTTTGTCATTTTTGAACATTTGCAGAGTGGCAAAAAACGGAATTACATCATGCATTGAAACAAGGCAGTCTTGTGCATACTTTTTTCAGCTCTCATACTTTGTGGGTGTGTTTTTTTTTTTTTTATTGTTTTTGGTGATTTCTCTAAGATGGCTCACAACCATAGCAGTGAAGCCTTATCTAGTTTTCCTAAAAGCAAAAAAAGGCTATCATATGCCAAGTGAGTTATATAGTGCCATTGAGTGAGTTCAATATTAATAAAGCAAAAATAGAAAATAGGGTGTCTTGAAATAGAAACATAAATAAAACAAGTTTATGTATTGATCGGTTTGTGTAATATGACCAGAGACTTTAAAAGGAGCCTGTATTTCCCCTAGTAACAAATGGTTTAGAGTTTAGTAATTATGTTCACAATGACTTAAAAGAATGCAAGTGCTGTGAATACAAAAGGACTGAAAGTATCTTTATCCCCACCCCCACCCTTTGACACAAAGCCTTAGAAGCCAGTTCCTCCTTATAACCTACAGATTTCATCAGATAAGGATACAGGGAGGAAAGTGAACCAAAGAGCTATTTCAGCACTAAATTTGGTTACTGTCCCAATTGTCACCCTCAAAACCTTTGTCTTCTACATTAAAGAACTTTACAATGACTTTGGTAAATTTAGATAGAAATTATTGAGGATCACTGGCTAGTTTACTATAGATGTTTTATACGGGTTAAGACCCTTTCATATTTTGTCAGACTGTTAAATGTCTGCCGTGAAATGTCATTGAAATTAGTGTATAAATTCTAAATAGTCCAAGACCTACAATATTTTGACACTTGAGTGAATTTCATTTTCACTAATGATGTTTAAACTTGATTATAAATATAAAAAATCTGGATTATGTAAAAAAGAAAAGGGATAATTGATCAATGGTCAGTATGTCTTTAAGAAACTAGCTGTATACTGTATAAATAATTCTGATTAAAAACAAACCTGTACTCAGAAATCTTTCATATTTTCATAGTTTTACATACCTAGGACATTTCTTAGGTCAGAGCTGTGGCTAAATTAAGAATTCAAGTAGGCCAGTAGTATCTTGAGTAGTTTTTCCTCAAAGGTAGTAAGAATTACCTGCTTCAACAGTTTGTGTGCAACTCCATAATATTTTAGTCCCCCATTAGACTGGCTGTTTTAGAGCAAGAACTGTGCCTTAAGAGCACATATGGGCACCATATGTGCAAATAATAAATGAGTAATGAATAATAATGTTTCTCCTAACATCACATGTATCTTTCTGTAATTATTGAATATTAATCTGTAAACACTGTAGTCTGATTTTAAAAATCCTCAAATTTGAAATTATACCAAGGCTTTTATTTTAGCTTGTGGTTAATCATTTTTTAAAAATTGGAGCTCTGAGGAGTTTTATTATAAAAAAAAATCAGTACTCATATACATAAATTAATGAGCGTAAAATCCATCATACATTTACTTCATTTTTTAGCTTGACCTTCTAATAAATCTTTAGCTTCATTGATTTTGGCTGCTATGTAAGGAGATCCTCCTACAGGAAGAAAGAAAAAAGAAATAGTTATAAAACAGGCTTTAAACTTCTATTCAGTAAAGTTATACTGTGACTGCATCTTGATCATCAAATACTTAATATAGATGACCAGTGGTCAATGAAATAATTCCTCTGAGAGATTTCCACAGAAATATGCTTAAAAACTGATAGGGTTTTTAGCATGGTACCAGGGATTGAACCCAGGGACACTTTACCACTAGGCACATTCCCAGCCCTTTTGTGGCTCCTAACTTGCAGTCCTGCCTCAGCCTCATGAGCCACTGGGATTATAAGTGTGTAATACCATGCCTGGCTGGGTGTTTGCTTTTGAAATCCTATAAACCTAATTATCAGGAGTGAGCATTTTTATATCCTCAAAGGTTCTGTGTTGGAAGGACCCCAGTTTACTTCACATCCTTCCTTCTGTCCTCTATGGTTTTTCTAACAACTGACCTTTCAAGATGTCCTCTATAGCTGCTGTACTGCTATTCTGTTGGGGCTGTATGGATCGAAGACCACCAAACACTGTTAACAGGAAACTTTGTAGGCCACCCCACGCCCCCAAACCTAGTCGGATCTGTGACCATCGTTAGTAGCATTCTCATTTCATCACAGTTATAGATATCAAAACACTGTTCATGAGCAAATTCAGGCATTTCAACAGCCAAGAATTATAAAATTTGTCAGCCCTGTGTAGTACATACCTGTAATCCTAGCTATTTGGGAATTTGAGGAATTTGTAAACTCTAGGCCAGTTGGAGCAACTTAGACCATGTCCCAAAATAAAAATGGGTGGGTTATCAATTCAGTGATAAAATTACCTTAGGTTCAACCCCCAATCAGGGAGAGGGGAGGTTGGGTCACTCCAACACATTAAAGTGATTACTTACCTTTATCTGGGTGATTTAAAAGCATAATTCGTCGATGAGCATCTCTAATTTTTGCTTTATTGGCTGTAGGGCTGATCAAAAGAGGAAAAGATATCATTTCAGTCTACTTCTGGATGATGTAAAAAAATGTATATGAGGGCTAACTAAATGAAACTACAGTAAATGAACAAAACACTATGAAAAGTTCCTTTGCATCCTCAACACAAAAACTGCACTTTCACAAATGCATTTCTCTCTCTCTCACACTTTTTACAACGACCCTTTTATGAGGAAAGGAAGACAGGTTTTCATCACTAAAACATCTTAAGTTACAGAGAGCAAGTTTATGCTAATCTGTAAGGTTTCTTTCAGTAAATTGCTGCTTTCCCAGGGTGCTTTTCTCATTTGGCAGGAGTGTCCAGACATTAAAAACACATGGATGGAGCAGCAAGGTTCTACTGACACAAATCAATTCTCCAGGGATAAAATTCTCTAGAGTTGTAAAAAAAGCAAACATGAGGGATGTTTACCTTACACCTAGTATTAATGCTGCTTCCCGTTTTGTCATTTTGGTTTCAAACCCACCTCTGTAGTAGCCACCACTGAAGGCCTGAAAGAGGAAATGCATTCATAAGGAAAAACAAACTGTTTCTTAAAAAAGCAAAGTCTAAAGAGTCTGTCCACAGAGTTAGATGAAAACTTGACATTTCAGAGAATAATTTCCAGTTATTTCAGATTAATTAGTAGCAAAAAACATTTAAGTGACACAAATATGGGATATGTCAAAGGAATATGTATTAATGCTAGTTGTTTGAGAAGTAAAGGGAGGACCATTCCCAGAAAGATAAAAATTCTGATCAATATGGTTTAAAATAGAAGTACATTAAGAAGAGGATTTGGATGGAGAAGGTGGGGGGCATACTGGAGTTTGAACCCAGGGATGTTATAAGCTATAATTACCAGTCCTTTTAAAATTTCATTTTAGATAGGATCTTATTAAGCTGCCCAGGCTGGGCTTCAACTTGCAATGCTCCTCCATTAGTGTCCCAAGTATCTGGGATTAGAGCTGTGTGCCACCACACACAGCTGGTTGGAGATCTTTTGAGATAAAGGAGTCCTAATAGATTAAATAGATAGATATGCCCTGTTAGAACCAAGGTCACACACTTAAGAATGGATCACTTTCAGTCCCTCTGTGCTTGTGATGCAGAGATGAAGGCAAAAATGTAATGATGTAAAAAAGCAAAGTGGTAATTAACTTTCATAATAATAGAATTACACATGCCCCAACAGACAACATTTGATTTCTTAGTGTAGCACAATTACAAAGTTTGCAACTACTACACCCTTTATAGGAAGCAAGAGAAGGGGTCCAAAGTCATATTCTGACTTCGTGGGTGTTTGGAAATTCTCCCTTCAAACTATGGTTCTACACTTCAAACATAGGCAGCAAAGTTAGCAAAAGCACAAAAAATGTTTAGTAAGTCTTACAGATTTTGGTAGACTTTGAAAAACTTGTTTTACTTGAGGCTCCATGTGCTTCATGGCTTGTAAAACATAACGGCCTAAAACCAAAAGTAACAGGATAAGTAAGTAAATCCCTAGTCTCCCTACTTCACTTTCATCCCCAAACCAAAAACAAACCTGCAAATCCTGCAGCAGCAATGGTCAGTCCAACTGCTACCACTGTACTGGCCTGGTAAGAGGGAAGAAAATGAAAGCATTTACTTTTCCAATTCCTACCCTTATCATACCCATTTCCCCATCCTAACTCGGTACAAGTTTCATTTCAATGGGAGAAGCAATCTTTTAAGGTGAATATATTCTATTCAATGGACCTATAATACTATAACTTTTATAATAGATGCATTACAAAGGTATCATTTTCACTATGTAAATATCGGAGGGTAAGTTGATCTATTATTTACCTCTACAACAGTATTATTTACCTTTACAACAGTGAAAAGAATGATTCCCTTCCTTTGAAAGCTTATTTCAATGAAGTTTAAAGTTCAATCATGACAGTGAAATAAAACTGATAGAGGGGCTGGGGTGGTGGCTCAGTTTGTGCAAGGCCCTGTGTTCGATCCTCAGCACCATATAAAAATAAAGGTTAAAAAAAAAAGTGATAGAAAAAGTAAAACTGTTTATAAAGGGAGTTTTGAATACTAAAAATGTAGGTTTAAATAGGCAAAGAGACTTTCAGAGTGCCTTTGACACTGTCCTGCCTCGTAAGAATAGAGAAGCCCAAATATTTTCGGGAAGCAAGGAAAATGAATTTTTGTCAGTAGGACCTAGAAAGGAAGGACAGAGCAAAGTGAAGCAAATAGCGGGAGGATGTATTCGATAATATTAAATGCATTTCTACTAATCTCCAAATTGACGGTAGTATCTGACTTGAGAATTCAAGAAACGCCTTCCTGCCCAGAGCTCAGGGACCACGGACCAAGGCTGGCGTCCCCTACCCAAAGACAGTATAAGAACACAAAATCCACGAGGGGTGCGCCAACGATTTTGTGTCCTGGAGGCTGACACTCCGGGGACCTAAACCTCCCGCCAACAGACGCACTAGGGAGCACAACTTTGCTCCACTCTTCCGAGGCCAGGAGCTGAGGCTCAGGCCTGGGCAGGAGATTTCCCGGGAGAACAAAGGTTGAACTCACCATGGCTCAGCTCGGCTTCCCTGCTTCCACCAGGAGCGCGGTTCATCCCAGTCCAGAAGACAAGGTCACCACCATAAGCCTTTACCCGAAAGAGACGCAATCACCGAAGCAACCTCAAGTTCTCAAGTCCAGAAGCCCTGTGAAATACGGCAGTAGCGGCCGCCAACTAGGTCGGAAAACTGTCGTAAAAGTAAGCGCAAAGCAGGATGTAAGGTCCCTCAAGCAGTGGGCGGGCGGAAACCGAGACTTCGGGTTAGTTGAAGGGTGGACAGATAACCTGGGCTAAGGGTGGGACTTAAGGGTGTCGTTTGTCCTTTGCTCCAAGACTGTTGGGATTTGGAAATTCTTGTCTGGAGGGCATGGGTTCTGGAAGAGTGAATAAATAGTGGGAAACCTTACTCAAAAAGAGTTTCTTTTCCTACGTATTACATTGCGATGCTATTTACGAGATTTTTTTAAAAACCAAAACTCTGTCAAAGGTTGTGACTACACCTAAACATGCTGTGATAGATTCCACCACGAATCTAAATAAATATGTAACAACCTTGTGTAGCAAACCACATGTCCCAGAACACCAAACAAATTTTACTGTTTCAAGTGTTGCTTAAGATGCGACTTGACAGCACTTTCTGTGAATGGACTTTTATTTGTGGAATGTGATTACTACTTCATAGACAGTTAATAGCTGATGCGGGATCTCAAATTCCTACACCTGAAAAGTTGTACTTAAAATTCCTCTCCCTGTCCCCTAAATAGAATGTAGGGTTGATTTTTGTCCTTTTTAGGACATCAGTTTCGTATATCTCTAATTAAAAGGAGAAAAATAATAAAGGCAATAATGGAAGTTTACAATGCAATATTTGATGACTAATATAAATTTGTAGTTGCTTACCACTTAGAACTTATAGAATATTAGAGCTGGGTTGTAACTCAGTGGTTACAACCCTGCATGCACGCCTAAGGCCTGGGTTTAATCCTCAGCACCACATAAAAATAAATAAATAAAAATAAAGATATTGTGTCCATCTACAACTAAAAAATTTTTTAAAAAGAACAGAGTGTTAAAAATATTCATAGTGCAATTCTGTTTTGATAAGTTGGTTGGTTTATTAGGCAAATATGCAAGTAAGTGGGCTTTCTTTTCTTCATCTATATAAACAGTTTGCATTTGGATCTCTAAGAACTCTTCTGACCCTAAGATTTTCTCATTTATTGTCAATACATGATTTCAGGTGATATCCAGCACTGAGACACTAGTTTGAAGTGTACATCTTTTCCCCTGCTCTTTTATGTAATTTTTTGGGGGAGGGTGCTGGGGATTGAACTCATGGGCCCTCAATCATTGGTCCACATCTTCAGCCCTATTTATTTCATTTAGAGACAGAATTTCACTGAGTTGCTTAGAGCCTTGCCTTTGCTAAGGCTGGCTTTGAACTTGTGATCCTCCTACCTCATCTTCCTGACTCACTGGGATTTTTTAACGTAATTTTTAACCCAACAGTTGCAAAAGAATTAATCAATGGAGGCTTAAGACTTTGGTACCAAATTGGCTGAAACAAACTAGAATGCTATCTGGAAATTTGTATTATGCATATTTTCAAGTGTACAAACTATGGCATGTGGTTTGTGTGAGAAACAGCTTTCCACACGCTAGCCTCTAAAAATGAGATAGATAATACAGCAACACACTTTGTTGAGGTGATCAGATCCTGATTCTGTCCTTACTTCTTTGAATTGGACAAGTTATTTCTGACTGAGTTTTTCATGTGTAAAGCAAGGACAGTGATGATTACTTTGCCATTTTTTTGTGAGGTTGGAGATTATGTACATGATGTGCCTTGCACATAGTCATCACTTAGCCTGGTACCTTATTATTATGAGACAAGCCACAGTATAAATTGGTATGCAAGGCTTTCCTAATATTTCTCATGACACCTCACTTAAGGATCCAAATTGGTAAATATCTTTCCTACCTGCTAAAATCATAGAAATAGGCTTTAAAAACAATTTTCAAATATATCCCTTAACTGATGAAAAATCATACCTTGCTATTTCTAACTAGTGACTGTCAGCATTTCTTGTTTTGTTTATGAGTCATTTCCATGTGGTAGGCTAACTTTTGAAATTTCACTCTAATCTGTCTTCATCTCATCCTGCTTGGTGTGTAAAATCTCTTTCTACTCCTCTCTTAAAGGATACATGTTGAGGTATGTATAATCCAGAATCATCTCTCCTTCTAAGGACTCTTAATCATAGCATCAAAGAAAATGTTCACAGGTTTCAGGTATTAGGACTTTGAAGGCCATTGTTTACTACAGAGAAGAAGAGGGAAAAAAGAAAGAAAGAGGGATAGCAGGAAAAAGAGATGAAAACTGTAATCTCAGGGGATTGGGAGAAGGATGCAGGAAAATCACAAGTTCAAGGCCAGCCGTAGCAATTTAGAATAAGTAATTTAGAAACTTGCCTTAGAACTCTGTCTCAAAATAAAATGTAAAAGGGATGGGGATGTGACTCAGTGTTTGAGAGTCCATGGGTTCAATATCCAGTACCCTCCCCCACCCCTCAAAAAAAAAAAAAAGAAGAGGAAAGAACTTGAGCATGTGTACTCAATTTTTCTGACTTGTTAGGCAAGTAACTTCTTGAGGAATGAGAGGGATTAGCTGAGAGTTTTCTTCTTGCATTATGGCTTTCAAACATGTTTTGATTATGTAAGAAGTACATTTTACATTATGACCACGAGAACAAATACATACTGGTGTGAGGATGTGCATGTGTATGCACACACAGAAAAATTCCCATAATTGAAATTTGTGTCTTATGAGACAATACCCTAATTTCATGAGATATGTGCTGGCCTTCTCTTATTTTTTTATTAGAGCTTTGTGTTTATACATAGTAGTTGGGGTCATCCTGACAAACTCATACATGCATAGAAACCAGTTACACTTTCTGTCCTTTCCCCTCCTGCCCCCTTCTCCTTTTTCTATTCTACTAAACTTCCTTTCATTCAACTATTAATTTGTATTTGATTGGATCTTTATCTTTTTCTTTCCTTACCCTTTCCTTCATTTTACTCTAGCTTCCGCATATGAGAGAAAAATTGGAGCTTTGAGTTTCTGAATTTAGCTAATTTCAGTTAGCATGATATTCTCCATTTCCATCCATTTACTAGCAAATGCCATAATTTCATTGTTTTTTTATGGCTGAGTAGAACTCCATTCTGTGTGTGTTATGTGTTTATATATTATAACTTCTTAATCCATTTATCTATTGATGGACAACTGAGTTGCTTCCATAATTTAGCTATTGTGAATTGTGCTGCTAAAAACATTGATGTGGCATGTCACTGTAGCATGACGATTTTAGATCTTTGGGGAATATACCCAGGGATACCTGGATCACATGGTGGTTCCATCCCTAGTTTTTTGAGGAATCTCCAAATTGCTTTCCAGGGTGGTTGTCCCACCAACAATGTAAAGTATTCCTTTCTTTCCATACCTTGCCAGTATTTATTCTTGATCATTGCCACTATGACTGAAGTAAGATGAAATGTTAGTGTAGTTTTGATTCATATTTTCTTGATTGATTGCTAGAGATGTTTTTTGAGTTCTTTGTATATTCTGCATTTAATCCCTTGTTGGCGGAGTAGCTGACCAAGAGTTTCTCCCATTCTCTTGGCTCTCTCTTAATCATTTCCTTAGCTGTGCACGTCCCATTTATTGATTGTTGGTTTTATTTCTTATACTTTGAGTGTCTTAGTAAGAAAGTCTGTGACAGCACCTATATGATGGAGTGTTAACCTTATATTTTCTTTTAGCAGTTGTAAGATTTCTAATTTCCTAATTCTGACCCATTTTTGATTTGACTTTTGTGCAGGGTGAAAGTTAGGGGTCTAATTTCATTTTTCTACATATAGCTATCCAGTTTTCCCAGCACCATTTGTTAAAAGGCTAGCTTTTCTCCAAGATATATTTTTGGTCTTCTGTATTTTATAAAAACAAAATACTAGGAAACCTGTTAAGTTCATAGCCAACTTGAAATTTGACTTGAAATTTGGAAGGCACCTCTGTACAAATATCCACAAATGGAAAATGTAATGCCAGGCAAATATTTTCCCTCCTTAAAAACTATATGCCAGTGTTGGGGATGTGGCTCAAGCCGTAGCACGCTCACCTGGCATGCGTGCGGCCTGGATTCGATCCTCAGCACCACATACAAAGAAAGATGTTGTGTCCGCCGAGAACTAAAAAATAAATATTAAAATTCTCTCTCTCTCTCTCTCTCTCTCTCTCTCTCTCTCTCTCTCAAAAAAAATGTAAAAAAAACTATATGCCAGACATCACCTTACACAATTTCATTTCATCATGTGGAAATAACATTCATTTTTGTTTTTGTTTTTCAGATGGGGATATTTTACTGACATATTTTGTTTTTCCCTTCTCATCTCCTCTGTTTCTATCCTGCTCTGTGCCCTAGAAGAGCACAAATACTTAGGAAATGACTTTAATGGACTGAATCAATGATCATTTTTGTCTTCTGGCTTGGTTAGCTCTATGATTAGAAGTTCAGAAGATAGGAAGAAAGTGAGTTCATGATCTTTATTTCTCCATCTCCCTTCCTAGCAGTTGCCTTAGGCTGAGTGAATTTGTCCATTGAAGACTACAGCTCCTTCTGTGTGTAGGTTCTGGTAATTACTCCAAGCCCTTGCTCCTCAGATTCCTCTGGCTTGTGTTATTAGGCACAGGACATTTCATCATTGTTTGCCAGTGAAAACAGTCCAGGCCTTTGAAAACAATCCCTTTATTCAATTCTCCATTTAGCTATGGTCTGAATGTTTGTTTCTCCAAAATTCATTCATTGAAACCTAATTACTACAGTGATGGTATTAGGAAATTGTGTCATGGGGAGGTGTTTAGATCATGAGAGCAAACCCATCATGAATAGCATTTATGTCCTTAAAAAAGTGGTCCACAGAGAGACCCTCACTCCTTCCACCATGTGAAGACCCAATGAGAAGATGTCATATATGAGTAAGAAAACTGACCCTTACCAAACATGGAATCTACTTTAATTTGTACTGAGATTGAGAAGATGGCTATCTATGCAGAAACAGGCTGTCACCAGACACTGAATCTGCCAGCACCTTGATCTTGAACTTCTC